GAAGAGCGTAGACAATGTACCAAAACTGGTGACTGACTACATGTCCAAAAAGATCAAGGTTGATGAATTTGTGACTCACACACTGCCTTTTGATAAAATTAATGAGGCTTTTGAGCTGATGCATGCAGGAAAGAGGTAACGTTCATCATATTGAAAGGTGTAGAAGACATTTCTTAATGAGACACTGTCAGAATATAAGCCCCTTGTGCACTGTCACGTTTTAAACAGGGAGGATGAAGGCTGACATACCATGCACATTCATTCTGAGATAAACAAATACACTTTCTCTGACCTTTTAGGCATGTCCCAAAACACAGGCAGAGAGTAAAAAGCAAGCAACAGTGTATAAGGGAAATACACAAGTATGTAAAGCTGCTAAAAGGGACAAGTCGGTCTTAGGCTTCCAACATTGCTAAAACATTCTTCCTCAGAAAAAGAAATGTAAAGAGACTGAAGGAGAGTTCATATTCATACATTTTTACAAGTCATTAAGCTATTATTAGTCTATTTTAATTAAATAGTAGGTTTCAGTATATTTTCAAACTATTTAGGATAGATTACCAGCACAATCAGTCACTTGGAATGATCTTTTAATATGCTACATTTTAATTATTTTTTTTTTCTAGTTTGAACTGGGGTAGAACATTCATATGATGGGTTTGTACTTCTTAACATACAGCAATTTCTGCCTTTATGAAGATAAGTGGCAGTTTGGACTGTTCACACTGCAGACTTAGGCCATAGCTGTATTAAACTTTGGAGTGAGGCCCAACTCCACTGCATATTGAAGTGACCCTACTTCCTGGTAAAAAACGTGCTGGATGTGTCATGAGCCTTGCTGCCCTTGCATGCCTTGCAAGCAGGGATCAACCTGCAAAAGCAGTGCAAAGTAGGGTGTTCTTAGCAGAGGATATATTGGGTGATCCTTGTAAAGCCCTGTATGGATATGGGCATGGATGTGCTTGAGGGAAAACGGGGACCAGCATGGGGATACTGTGGCAGACCTTGTATCTGCAAGTTAAAATCTAATGCAGAAAAGGGGAAAGGATTAGACAGTGTTAGCCTGAGGTGTGTTAAAGCTTGTCCTGCTGTGTCTTTTCAAAAGCAGGCCTCTTTTAAATGAGAGTTTTAATGAGATGCTCTGTAATTTGTTGGAAATTCAGAGACTCTTAACGAGATAGCTAGCAGAGCCTCCAAGAGTAGAAACCAGTTTAGCAGACTAGTTCAAATACTTCTTAAGAATGTATTTTGAATGAAGGGAAGAATCAGCAGGTGGAAAAGAAGAAAAATTAGAGAGATGTTCTAGTAAAAAAGAAAATCTTGTCCTGTGTATTTTCACTAATGCAGGCAACTCTGTTTATCCATATTTAGATTCATCTACAGATAGTTACCAGCATTATCTTAAGAAACCAGCATGGTTTTTGTATTTGATCTCAATCCATATTGATGTATTGTATATAACTTTCTCAAAAATAATAACTTTATCTGCTTTATCTCATATGCATTCCTATTTTGGATAAGTCAGTTAACAGTAACTGCATTTGTACTTTTTACAATTGGAAACACTGAATCTATGCAAATTTCATCCAGCAGTTGAGCCCCTTTCCCAGTTACAAACTTCTGTATCATTTCAATGCTTTGTTCCTACATGAGCATGTCCTATGAAACTAATAGTGAAAGTTACTTAAAATTCTCCAAGTAGCCAAAAGAGGGAATGCCTGTAAATATTAATGCTCCTGATCAATATTCTTGGCTAGCTATTGAAAACTGACACTCGGATAGTTTGAAAAACGCTTCCGTTTTGAGTATATCTTATTGGGGGAGAGACTAAAAAAACCAAAGATAACAGGCATTACTAGCCCATTTTTAACCAGGATTTTTAATAAATATTATAGGCATAAGCATAACTTCATTCTTACAAGAGAAAAAAGTTAAAGTATGTCTCAGCAAAGAAAGGGAGGGGAGAGAAGGGGAGAAAATGGACTTACTGGTAACCTTTTTTTTCTTTTTCTTTTCCATTTTAAGCATTCGAACTGTCCTAAAGCTTTAGAGCCAAATGTGGACCTTCCAGTTGACCAGCAACATGGTAACCGTCCTTTTATAATGGAATTTCTGAAAGATGGTAGAATCAAGCAACTGAAAACTCACTCGGACTAGGAAGACGATGTATTTTTAGGGTGAGCATTCTGAATATTAAATAACAAAAAATTGGTAACCACTGAATAGTATTACATAATTCGCACTGGTTGTGGAACTTCTATTTCTGTACTTGTTCTTCAAATAGTGCCTAACTCACTCAATCTACTTAATAAAAGCTTATTTCTAAACACAGTGTTTGAATTATTGAGCATTAAGACTGTGTTTACGATTGCTGTGTCTTACTGTTTTCCTCTAATGATTTTACAGTATGTGTGTACATGACAGAGGAAGAGCATTCTTCAGAGTCAGTAGAAATTGATGTGGGATTCATTACAGTAGGCAGTTTGCTAAGCACAGCAGGGTTGAGAAGCAGCACTGATGTGCTGTAAATGTACTGAGAGAGTACTCCAACAGCTTTCAAGCTTCTGAGGCTATTCTAGGACTAGAAAGGATGTACCATCTAGCTCTACCTTGAAGCCAACTGTAGAGCAGAGTGTGGTCATTGGACATATGACCTAAGTGTCCAGGTGTACCCATGTTTGCTTGGGAAGTCCATATTCTATTGCCGTTTGGCTCATTACAGTAGCTGTAGGCAGGCCTGTTGTAAAGATGATAGCGTAGACTACTCTCCAAGACTGCAGTAGCATAGTTTTGCCATTTCCTTAAACTTGCTGGCAATTGGAGCAGCCCTTGCAGCCAACGCTGCAAAAACAAACTTTGTGTGATTGTTACCTCTATTTAGTCAGAAACAGGATCATGCCATTAAGGCAAGGAACATTACTATTAGAGCAACAGTCTGCTCTTCAGGGGTGCAGGGGAACAACAGTAAAGAGCATTGTGTGATGAAGGCTTCAGGGTTTTCTGGGATTTTTTTGTTGTTGGCTGTTGGAGGGTGAGGGGTTAAGTCTTAATTTTGGAGTTGCAGGTTTTTTTCTTAACTATAGCTGAAGTGATCTGACTGGATAAAATTTCTGTAAGTTGAAACCTGGAAGCAATGCCACAGGTCCAGAAAAACATAGAGGAACAGCAGACAACAGACTGCAAAGCAGAGGCAGAACAGCTGCCCAGTTAAAGACAACTTACATGCCTAAAAAGTCAGTGCTTTTCAGTGAACAAAGGGCACTGATTAAGAGAGAATTTTCATGTTTTAAGGGACCCTGGTCAAAACAACTGTTACAGAGAACTCTGAATGCAAACAGTAATCTTAGAAGAAATTCCCTCTCACCACTAACCACTCCCTTACCCCAAGACACTGCTATACAACTGGGACAATTGCATCTTTTCCGTTTGTCATTGGAAAGATATCCCTAGAGCATTCTGAAAATAGTCGAGGTAGTGGCATTTCTAATTTCATTTCAGACAGCGTAAACAACAAAGTTAACTCCTGCAAACGTCACAAGAATTCAATTTTGAGCATCTGAAAGAAGTAAAAAGTGAATTTGTACCAGGAAGTTGAGCCCTCCAACACAGCAGAGAAGTTTCTCAGTACCCTTGTAGATCCAGAAATGCTGGCTGAACATCAAAGGAAAATTGCTGTCAAGCCATTCCAGTGAGTACTCTGTAACTACAGGATGGTATCAATAGAATATTAGCTCAACATCTTAGCAATACTACCCCCCAACTGGATTGAACAGATTTAAAATATTTGTAACAGTTGTTCCTCTAGGCTGCACAGACTAGATCAAGACTGTACAATCATATTGACTATGTTACGTTATTATTTTAGAGAATCTGCATCTTAGAGTGTCTGTGGAAAGCTAGTCTTGTAATACCAGGGTAAGTCAACAACAAAGACATTTAATGATACCAGAGCACTCAAGTCAAAGACTTACAGCTTCTTCCCAGCCTGAAGAACTGATGCCCTAGCCATTAGTAGCAGAGTTTTCAGACTACTTTGTCCTGCAAAGCAGTTGATTGAATGGAGTATGGTTGAAGTTGCTCAGCTAACAATGGGACTCATAAACACAAGACCTTGTACTCCATTCTTGGTGATCAAGGTACTGTATCGAACTGTAGCATCTTGACAACTTTAAGGACTTCAATGGACAAAAAGTTTCCACCAAATGACTGTACATGAAATGTGTATGTACTCTGATGGCTGTCTTATGCAAAAGATGCAGTTTGTCCCCTCTCCTCCTGCTGTTACTTTTATCTAACATTAGCTATCAAATCTTCTCTGCTTAAATATTCATGTCAATTTGCAAAACCAGCATGAAGTGTTTCCACACTCTTATATGATAGTAAAGGGAAAACACTTTAAGAGATTCTTTCAGAACTGATTGCAGGATTGTGTTTTTGGCAAAAGTGTATACAATTTCTAAAAATTTCATTAGAAAGTAAGTAGATTTAAGTTGGGTTTTTTTGTTTGTTTGTTTGTTGTTTGTTTTTTTTTTAAAGTGGATAGCAACTTCTGTAAGAATCAAAAATAAGTAATTTCCCAAATCCAGTCAGCACAAGTCTAATATGTCATGTTCAAGCAAAGTTACAGCTAGAGAGGTAAAAAAAAAATAGCCTTTCACAATGTTTTTATTTAATAAGTAGTATTCTCCAGGCTGATGTGCTATCTCACATTGAAAGAACTGGTGTAGATACTGACTAAACTTTCCAATTGTTTAAAAATACTGTAGTAGTATGAACTCGGTATAAACAGTTTTCATGCTGTGATTTCAATTTATAGGCAGAAATGCATAGCATCATAGATTACCTACATTAAAAACGTGCAGTGTTAAATTTGGTTGTATTGGTGCAACAACAAAGAGGTATTCTAATGGCACGTGCAGGTTTAAGGGTGATTTTTAACTGGTTGCATGCGTCTACCAGTAGGCCTTGCACTAGTGCAAGCAAACCTGCATATAATTGAGAATGCTATATCTGGTTTTGGATCACAAAAAAAGTTATTTCTGTTAAAAGCAGCTGCAACTTTTTATTTTATAGACCAAAAATGAAGTTGTCCCCCCCATCATACACACATATATAGAAAAGGCAAGACCGTTGTAACCATTCAAGTGAATGATACGGTGGGCAAACCTCCAGGACAGTCATCTCCTCAATACATTACATCTCATTCAACACAGTTAATTCCACTCAAGTACTACAGTCTGGTTTGTTAAAATCTATACATACACACACACATACGCTCACACACACCCCCCCCCATATGCATCATTTCAGGTCACTTTACTGCATAATTAAAAATAATAATAAAGGTAATGAAAACATTGCAATGATACTCTTACAGCAACAGAGGTCTGAGGCACTCAGGGCAGAGGAGACATTTTCTGGCAAATTTGGTATTTGGTAGTACACATGAGTCCAGTTCTATGAAGCACTAACCCCTTTCCCCCACCTAAATTCTGCAGTGCCAAGGGGAGCAAAGGGTATGCAGTACCTCATATGCTTGGGTCCAATGTGGCAACAAATTCACCAGACACCTTGTAAAAGGTGTATTTTATGCCCGTGATTGTATGATTTAATGTCTGCATTGGTTTAACTTATTTCTTGCATTACAGTGGTGTGAGACTAAGTCTGCAATGGGGTCTGAAAAATTTTTCATTACAATTCAGAAAAAAAATAAAATAAATTCCCTCAGCAGAGACACCAAAGATGATGGAGAGGAAGTGGGCATGGGAAAAGAAAGGGTAGAGAGAAGAGAGGTTTAATCAATCCACACTCCCTAACATGACAGTTTCCAGCTCATCATGACCCATTAACAGAAAATAAAGGGGTATATATACTAACATTGCCCACTCTATACCCAGTCTGAGGAAAAAAAGGTCAGGTTTCATAGCTGCCCCCCTAAGACTTTCCAAAAGCAAGAAACTGAACTTAACTGAGGGGGGAAAAAATGACCTGTTGAAAAATTACCAAGAGAAAATGAATACAGGTGTTTCATTTTGTCACACTCGGACGTGTTTTGAGATACATACTCATTTCACTGTAAGTCTTGCAAATCCAATCCCCCACAGCTACTGTGGATGTACCTTTAAAAAAAATGCCCCTCAGTTAACACACACAGGCATCCCATGAATCATGGGATCTTTTTGGTTCTTGTTTCATTCCTTTACCTAGGCAAATACCTTTACATCAGATTCATCAAGCTTTTGGTGCAGGAGAGAGCCTGCAAATACCGCTTCACCAAGAAGCGGCTTATTCCAGGGAGCTGCATATAAGAATTTATTAATTTTCCCTGTAGGAAGCCCATACTATCAAATATCCAGCAAGAGAAACAAGTCCTACCATTAACACAGTGTGTCACCTAGAGTTGCAATCACCACAGAGGCCATCAGTAGAGAGATGGGGACAGAATTAAAGGTAAGGGTAGCCTATTCATGTCTTTCTCCGTTCTGCCCTCTTCTCAACTGATGAACAAACAAGGCCCAGCCCATTAGAACAGTATCTGCAGAAGCAGGAGCAAGTCTTTGGAACTAGAAATGCTTAAAATCTCAGGTGCCACTCACGTACTGCGAGCGACAGGGCATACTGAAGTGGTAAAAAAACCCCAAAAATCCCAAAATATCAAGTCCCAGTGGGAAAGGTTACCCACACTTTTCTAGCTAATATCATGGCAGCAACAAAAGCAATTGTGGGTCTAATTGGAAGAAAGGTGCTAAAGAGATAATTGAAGAAAAAAGAAAGATACAGCATGAGTGTTGTAGGTAGGAGGAAAGGAGGAAATTCTTTAAATTCTTCTCTGCTTTTCCAGACATTGGGTCAGGTTCTTCCAGATATTCCTCTTATCTACAATCACCAAGAACAAAGTAAATGATGAAATCTCTCTATTCTGTACTCTTAAAAAAATGCATAGTACAGAGATCAAAAAAAAAAAAAAATAATGTATCGTTCAGATCCACCTGCTCAGTCTAGACTATCACTGGGACATGAAATGGGGACGAATACTATCCAGCCGCCGGGTCAAGATCTCACAGCCTGTATCAGTGACCAGAAGCGTGTGTTCAAACTGGGCAGATCGCTTTCCATCTCTTGTTACTGCAGTCCAACCATCAGGCCATGTTTCATCTTGCCAACCACCTA